GATATTTTATTTAAAACAAAGACGTAGGAGCAATAACAGCAAGCTAACTTTGAGAGCACCTTAAAAAGATTAATCCTCTCTCATTTTCAGTAACCCTGTGGGGTGTCTTTCAACCCACTTTTGCTAAGGAGGGAGGGAGGTGATTTAGTAACTTCCCCGTGGTCATCTGACAAAAACAGGAGGCGCTCTGGCTTGTGCCTCAGGCCGGCATGCTTACCCTGCCATGCTTTGGCTCTGCATCAGGAGGACAGTGTGTGCGTCCCGCCTGCGTATGTTTTTCAGAGCTGTGTTATTGCTGAGAGTTGCTCGGCGTGTACACACACACTGGAAGGCAGTTTTGAAAGCTCAGGAATAGCTTGGCCAGGGTGCTAGGGGAAGGCTGAAGCACTCTTCGGGGGTGCTCTCCATCCCCGTGACACTTGCAGGCAGAAGCATCAGCACGCCAGAGGATGCACCGCATTGCACTGATGCGGGCTTTGTCTCCTCAGGTGCCCTCCCGGACCCACACTCCAGTGACCCAAAATGCCTTTCCATGGCGAAAAGCAGTGTATGGGCGAGGACCAGCCGAGTGACTCCGACTCATCCCAGTTCTCCGAAAGCATGGCTTCCCTCAGTGACTGCGAGTGCTCCAGGCAGAGTTTTACCAGCGACTCCTCCAGCAAATCCAGCTCTCCTACATGTAAGCTGACCGGAGTAGGGGCTTAGGGTTGGGGGTGATTTCACATGAAATGTGTCGGATTTTAAAATTCAGTAAAGAACGAGTTCAAACTCATTCCTTCCTCCACTTCCTCCCCTTTCTCGATGTACCAGGATCACACTGCAGAGGCCCCACCGCTACTTGGTACATGTACTCGGGAATAAATAGTTGCTAAAATTGACAACCTGCCCATTTTTATTTCCTTCCCTGTCTCTGATCTACTTTGCTCTGACAATAAATCAGGCCCCTCAACCCCACCGGTCTTGTCTCTAATAGCTGAAAGCCATTCAGGGTCACTTTTGGGGCCTCATTCTAGGTCAGTTCAAATCAGTCTTTTCTGATCGTTTCTGACTTACATTGAAGGAAACAGGCCCTAAATCAGTCATTAGGCAGGAAGTGAAGTAATACAAAGGGTTTTCTGCCTGTTTCAAAAACTGTTGTGCAAAGCACCCCCAGAAAGGTACCCAGGAAGAAAGTTACTACATGTACCACAGGATGTGAGAAAAGGGTCCAAGGCGTGGCTGCTGTGAAAAAAAACCTCCTTTTATGTCTGTGGAAGCTAGAGATGGTAACAGGGTGTGCTTGTCTTTTCTCTTGGTTTTTTCCTTTGGCACTTTGATAGGAAATATAACAACTTACACTGACAAAAGCGAACACAGAAAGGATCAGCTTGTGTTTAATATGATCAAGTGCCAACTTGAAACAAGTTTGTACATTTATATTTATTTTAAATTTTTTCAAATTTGAAAAGTGCATAATAGTGCAGGGAAAATAAGATGCTCCCTATCCCACCCCTAAAGATGACAGCTGGCAGAACCGGTCACATCTTCAGTTTTCACTTAGGTGTCTGTGTGGACTCTTCACTCAGTCTCATAATTAAAACATTCACTCAGGATAATATTTTTAAGTGTTGTTTTTATAACACTTGAATGCCGTCTCACGTGAATGTACTGTAAATGTATTTAACACTGGTGTTTCATTTATCATTTAGTTCATTTCCTTTGCTGTTGTTTTCTGTTCCAAAGAGTGCTTTGTGAGCATCTTGGTGCATAAAGCTTTTCCAGGAATTCCTTTGGGTAGAATTAGATTATTGGACTAATGGATATTGACATTTTTTCAGGAGACTCTTAATGGAGAAGAGAGTTGATAAAACATATGACCCACCACCCAGGTTTCTATGCCTCTTCTCATTCTTTACACCATATTTGGAGTTGATGCTGCTAACGTCGTATCCAGGCATGCTGAAGAAGAGTTTTACAAACTGTATCACCACCTTTTTCCTTTCCCCCAACTTTTGCTACTCTTTCCTTTACCTTATATTATAATGTCATCAGTGTTACCATGTTTATTAATTTAGATTGCAAAGAATTGCCTATCAGTAAGGTGACCTGTGATCATGACCTTTTAGTTAAAGAAGCTAAGAGTGCCAAAAGTGTTTTCTCACCTCTTATAATAATTTCTTAAATACTCTTTAGAAATAAGTAGACTAATCCTTTATTTCCACCTTCTTCCTGAAAAGTAATTGACCATGTTTATTATATTTATTTCATTTTAAATTATCTACCTTCACTGAGATTTTGTTGTGTTCTTAATTTAAATGATTTAGTCACCACAGAACAGCCCTGTGAGGAAGGTAATCTCATTGTACCTCAATGAGATCAAATAATAACTACAACTTGGGTTTAATTCTAAGTTTCAAGTGATAACTAAACATGCTATACTGCCCATACTTTCAGAAATTGCAGTTTTAGAAAACCAGTTATTATTTAATAAGTCTGCTTAAGTTAATGAGTTTGGAGTTACTGAGTAAAAACTTCTGTATAGTACATGTAATGGTGCAGCTATTAATAGGAACTTAAAAACTGAGGTGATTAAAAAAGTAACTTTTATGTGGTCTGTGTGAATAAGGTTGTCTCAGAGACCTTTGAGAATTTATTACCAGTTACAGTAACTGAAGCTATCAAAGGTGTTCTTGACTTTTTGAAGTCTTTATTCACCAGCTATTTTGGTATGTAAAACCCTGAAAGTACATACTGTATAAACTTACACCCTGACTGCAGTGGGGGCTCTTTGGATGACAGCTTCTCTTCAGGGACATTGACTGGCTTATTTTTCTTTTAGCACCAAGCCCTCCCAGGGTGCTCACATACGATGAAGTAATGGCCGTGGCGGGGAACTTGTTAGATTTGAATCTTGCTCATGAAATTGCTGTCAATGAGAACTTCGAAGTGAAACAAACTCCCATCCCTGAGAACAGGTAACCAGGGGACCTTCGTTGTATATAAACTTTACTGAAGATTTTAGAAGCCTCTGACAGAGAGATCACAGTTCTATGGACAGGGCTGGTGAGCCTCACTCCTGAGGGTGCCGAGGTCCCACTTTGGCCTCTGACTGCAGTGGCTCTAGATCTCCTGGGACAAATATGAGGGAAAGGCCTCAAGCCACTACTACAGATTAATCATCTTTAAAGGCAAAGTTGGCTTATAGATAACAGCACCCTGAATCCCTAATCTCCAGGTGCCTTTATATACCCAGAGGCATCTTCTCTGTGAGTTAAGAAAGCATAATAGTTGATTCCAACTAGAACTTACTTGTTTTATAGGAGCATAGTAAATGTAATCATATTCCATCTTTAAAATGTAAAGCATAATCTTGTTTCTGGGGATATTACCATAATAATCATTATGAGTGATTCTTTTTACAAAATAACCAGTATTTTTTCAGAGTGTGGGAGGTAGGTGTATCTGTGTGGTTTTCTAGGGTAACTGCATTTCACCTGATCTTTGCCTTTATATCACTTCTGTTGCTCACCTAGGCCAGGGCCACTGCTGTCTGGGAGAGGGATAGCACCCGGGAGCAAGAAAGACTCGAAAAGAATTATAATGCAGAGAAATAATGTGCTTTTTCGAAACTGCACCAGAATAGTGTCAGTATTTAGTAGGAATGCGTATTTTGATGTGCACCTTTTTCTTTTCCTTTTATATGATTTTTTAAACTACATTGAAGGATTTATTTCCATGGTACTATTTTAAAAATAATATACTAGTTTATTTTTCCATCATTTTGTGCATTTTCCCATCTCAGTTGTAATCCTCTTGGGTTTCCCATCACCAAATCACCCATGCGCTGATGGACACCTATTTTATGGCCTTGACATAACGGTGGAGCGAGGTGGGACCTGGCCATTGTGAACGCTGCCAAGCAGTTTGGTCTGGCTAACTTTAAATGGAACATTTAAGCTGAAGCTGGCAGGCATTCAAAGGCATGCACCCTCGTGGTCAGTCTGTTCTATTCCATGTCCTGAAACTTCAGCTGTTGAGGAAAGAGCAACTCAGCCATCTTACCCCATTAGAACCCAAGTCAAAAGATCCATGAGTGGAGCGAGCAGGGTAAACAACAGCATCTGCTTAGGCCAGACTTTGATGAATTTACTGGAAGCTAGTGGGAGGAAGCACTTCTAAAGCCAGAAGGAGATACTTAGGACAGATTATTAAAGAAGCAAGAGAAAGTCTAAATAAAGAAATCCATTGGGGTATTCTTTATTATGTTAAATGCATTGACCTAGGGAAATATGTCAAGTATCAGTGATATTACGGGCAAGTTTGATTCTGTTGTTCTGCATTTTCTAAATGCCCTACCTGGAGCATATTTTTACGATCAGTACAAATGCTTATTTTAAAAAGCCACCCATTCGCTCCTACAGCCTGTTTGGTCAAGTGAAGCACATCGTCCACCAGGCCTTTTGGGACCTGTTGGAGTCAGAACTGAATGCCGAGCCTCCCAAATACGAATATGCCATCAAACTGTTTGAAGAAATCAGAGAGGTGAGTTGTTGTGGTCACTGTTCATTAGTAGTTATTCCCCCCCACCCCCACCCCGAACCATCATGTTCAAATTCTCCAAAGAGCATTGGATGGCATTGGAAGGATTCCTTCCTGTACCTTCCAGAATGGGGTGGAGGCAGGGACAATCAGGAAGAAAAGGAGCACAGGGCAATGCTTGGTGTGCGGACTGGAGGTCGTGGTGGGTGCGACGTCCGAATCTGGAGTCAGGTCTGGCTTGGTGACCGCCTCTCCTTGACTCTCGGCTTCCCGGGAACTTACAGGGGAGTGTAAGGATGTGAGACATGACAGTTACAGTTTTCTTAGTATTTACATTTACAAGGTGCTTATTTTATACCAAGCATTAGATGGTTCATTTGTCCTTAACACTGGGTAGCTACTTCTGGCACTGTTTTGGAAAGAGAAATCCAACTTCCTGACTCACCCAGGGTCACACAGCTCAGAGGGGTGAAAAGGATTTGAACTGGGGCTCTGATCATAGTCTGGGTGGCAAGCCATGGGCTGTGCGTCTGTAACTGAACTGCTGTGTGGGGGACACTCTGTGTAGGTTGCACATATACGTAAAATGTACCGTGTTAATGGAGCCCACGGGCATTCCCATTTTCACTTCTTTAAAAATATTTTTTGAAGCCACGACCTGTTAACTTGTAAACCGAGTAATGCTTCTTCCTTGCCAGTTGTTTTCATGCTGGTAGGATTAGTGATTTCCCATAATAGTCTTATTTTTTAGAATTGAGGCACCGGAGAGATCCTCTGACCCACCACCCAACACAGGAAACTTCTGGGCCATCTGGGGCTCTGCAGGAGGGACAAGACACTGAAGTAAAAAGGGACAACCTTCGCTCGCATAACGAGGCTGTTAATTTTCTTTCCCTCCCCTGTGTAGATCCTCCTCTCGTTCCTGATTAATGGCGGCAACCGCCTTCGTGACCAGATCTGTGAAGTTTTGGACACGGACCTCATCAGGCAGCAAGCCGAGCACAGCGCCGTGGACATCCAAGGCCTGGCCAACTACATCATCAGTACGATGGGAAAGCTGTGTGCCCCCGTGCGGGATGACGACATCCGGGAGCTGAAGGTCACCGGCAATATCGTGGAGGTGCTGCGGTGAGCACGTGGGGCTTTGTTCTCTCAGTGCGTCGCAGGAAGTGCAGAGCATTGGGAACACAGAGTAGTAGCTAGTCTCGAAAGGACCCCTGACTTTCAGAGGCAGCCAAGATAAAGCAAGGAGGAAGACTGTCACTCACCACAGCCTTGTTAGTTGGCCAGTGCTACTGTGAGGAATGCAGGGTTGGAAAAAGAGAGACCAGTGCCTGACCTCAGGGAGTTGTCAGTCAATGGGGATACAGACAATGAAGCGGAATTGCTGTTGTGGTAGCTGCTGTAGAAGTGGAAAGACTTCACTAGAGCACCAGCAGGGCACCTAACCTAGTCCAGGATCTGGGAGGCTCCCTTTATTAGTAAGGCCCCGTGAGCTGCACCACATCCTCAGATGCATTTAACATTCATCTGGCGAATAGGAAAGATCATGAATAAGCCCACTCAGTACTTAACCACTTTGGCCCAGAAGTGACACATCTCACTGTCTCTAACTGGTCCCGCCAGGCCAACTGGAGTGAAGGGGTGTTGGGAAATGTGGTTGCATGTCTGGAAACACATTTTCCATCCCAAACCTGCTTGTCGGGAAGGGAGTGTGGCCTCTAGTCAGCAAGTCTTCTTTGCGACAGCTTCCCGGAGGAGGTGAAACTAAAATGTAGGAATCTAATATTGCTGTGTAGACAGCACCTTCTTTCTGACCCCGGAGGAAAGAGGCATCTGCAACACTGAAGGGAACTTTCTCCCCTTTTCTGTGAATGTGGCCCCATGGGGAACTTAATCTCACTCTATACTGTTGGCAAGGAAGGAGAAGAAAATTACACATAGCAGGTGACTTTATGACTTTGGGCAAGGAGCTAGCTGCTCAGAGTCACACTTTTCCCATCTGTAAAATGGACCTACAGACCCTTAGATTTTGGCTCCACTTTGGTAAATTGAGATTCTGCAGCCTGGGAGTCCTTACTTGTGTGACTTGAGTGCCATTTGTGATGTCAAGTCTGTGGTGTTCGGTGAGATATCTATTGCGCACCCACCGGGTTCCTCATTCTGTGGATTATCTCACTGACTTTTCACAGTCTCTCTCTCCCAGGACGATCTTGTCCTCTGTTTACGCAGACGGTGAATCTGGGGCTCAGAGAGCTTGCGTATCTGGCCAACACTGTCTTAACATGTGCCGCCTACTCCAGCTTAAGGACTCTCCCGGCCTCACTTTGCAGGCCTGTTCTGTCTGGTCTTCTCTTTTCTTTCCTCTTTTTCCCTTACGAAATCAATGTATCATGTTTAGGCTTCTTAAAATTTAAGGGGTTTTCAAACGAAAATTGCTTCTTAAATGTTTTTTGTCTCACGGTTGAAACTCATGGTTTATGCTTCTTTATCCCCACAATGTCTGTGTCCCCGCTGACTGAAAACTCCCTGAGGTCAGGGTCTGGTCTCTCTCTTCCCATCCCTGCATTCCTCACATCCAGCACTGTCCCACTAACAATGTTTGGCTGTCAGTTTGTCACTGGAAGGAATGGTTCACCCCAGATACTAATTAATCGCTTAGCCAAATACTCTTGACACCTGTGGAAGAATACACTTCGGGGCACACGTAACGCTGTCTGCACAAAGACCTACCAGAGGGCACTTGGTATTTCAAAACCATTCTGGGCAGGTGTATCTTTTCTAGTATGTGCAGTAGGTAGAAGCTAATAAATTTCAGCCCAACAGCTTACTTACCTTCCTATTTTAACTGCACACTCTTTAGGCAAATATTTCACGTTCTGGACCTCATGAAACTGGATATGGTCAATTTCACAATTCGGAGTATTAGACCCCATCTTCAATACCAGTTGGTGGATTATGAGAGGACCAAGTTCCAGGAAATTTTAGAAGAAACTCCAGGTAAGTATAATGTGATGCAGATACATTATTGTTCTGTGGCCATCTTGAGGACGGTCACTCGAGCATTTCAGCCTTTCTGATGAACATGTTTAATGTCTAAAATTCCTATCACAACTTAGAACAATTTCCTGTGTCTCAGGAAGTATGCTAAGCACTTATCTCTCTCTCTCTCACACACACAGCATGCACACACACTTATTAAGCTCCCGCTGTGTTCCAGACACAGTTTACGTACGTGCTGTGGGTACTGCTCTGTCGACATCGGTCGGGGACCTGGGGTACCGCTCTAGAGGGCTGACAGGGAAGAAAACAGCAGAGAGCCAGCTTAGACCTCCCTAGCAGCTGGAACCATGTTAACTTCAGAATGGACTCCTTCTTATCAGAGTAGTCAACACTAGCACACCCCTTCTGTAAAGACTCATCACAGCCAAGTCTTGACAATGTGCCAAACACTTATAGCTCATTTAAGCTCCATAATAGCCCCGTGAGGCTCGAATTATTGACACCCACTGTTACAAATGAGAAAACTGAAGTGGAGGTATTTACCCTAGGTGGCCGCCACTCAGTGGGAAAATTTGGAGAGACCAGCTCTTTCTGTGGCCAGGCCACGTGCATTCAGCCACCACGCACACTGCCTTCTTCAAACAAGACATGCACATCTCTGGGGGGTGCGTTGCAGAGGGAGCACTGGCAGCGGGTGGCTCAGAGGACTAGGTGATTCCTAGGGATCCTCCTTCCTACAGCCAACATCCTGTGCTCCAGGGCTGTGGTTTAGCTCCAAAGACAGAGGGATTAAGGGAACTGGAGGCTGAATTTGAAACCCTCACTATAGTAACTTGTTCTTAGCACGTTCCTGAGAGTAGCTGGTTTCACTTGTGTCTGTGTGTGTGTGTGTGTTATGTATACGTGTGCATATGTGTATGTGTCCAGTGTCACCTAGCTTGAAATCTTGAGCAGATTATACATAGAAAGTTGAATGAAAATTTTGCTTAGCTCAAGGGATATGTTTCTGACAGTAAAAGCTAGGCTTACTGACCCGTATAGCAGTTGGACCTTGGCTCACTTGAGCCTGGCTATTTCCAGAGATTTAAGAATAGAATAATCCAGCTGTGCATATAGGTCATTATTGCCCAGCTCTAAATATGTTCTCAGAGAAAGAGTCCAGGAAGCAGAGTGTGTGTCAGCTGTTAATTATATCCTCGAGTCCCTCTGCCCAAGTTGGCCACTGTGGCGGCCTGCTGTCAAAATAAGAGCCCGAGTGTCATGCAGAAGGATGAAAGCATTGTTGGAATATTATGTGTGCGTGACTTATAAAATAATTACTGGAAAATGAATACAGAGGAGAACTGTGGATTTCTGAATTGACAAAAATGATTTTATTTTGCCTAGTGGGGGATTTTATATAATTGCATTATTTAGAATATATCTAAGAAAGCCCCCGGCAATGGTTGGGCTCTAACAAGGTAGCCATGTTGAGCCAACAATAAAACTAACTGGAGGCCCTCCCTGGTAGGCACCCACAGGTTTAATCTGGCCGTCTGCCCTGGTAGGGCAATAGTTTATAGCGCAGCACTAGGAAACTTCAGCATGAGTTGGGTCCGGGCCAGGGAGGTGACCTACATGGCCCCACAGACCTTTCTGGTCTTGCCCGCTGCTCCCCTCAGCAGTGTACTTTGTCCATCTGCGTGTTCTGCTCCCCACTCTGTCTCTGGTGAACCCTCTCTCTGCCCCTGCACCTCTGGCCTGTACCCCAGTTTTGTAAGCATAAATAAATAAATAAGTCCTAAAAAAAAAAAAAACTAACTGGAAAGAGTAACTGATAACCCATGGCAGGGGGTAATTAGGACAAATAATTTTGAAGAAACTTAGAAAAGAAAGTTGTATTTGTTTAGATGATACCTTATCTGATAAAATGTTTTCATGAGCTTCATTTCATGAATAAATTTTAAAAACCCTAGAGGGCATATCTTAAAAAAAAAAAATACATCAAACTGCATTATAATTGTCTTTTCCTGGCTTGCTTTGAGATAGTTAAATGGGCTTTTAAATGTATCAGTTGTAAATGATCAAGCTTGCAGTCTAAATGCTTATTACTGCTACATTATACTTGTATCTATGATTACATTTGTTTTCCTCCTTAAATAAAAGACTGCAAATCTTTTATATCTTTATAACCAAATTGGAAAGACCAAGTACAACATTTGCCAATAGACACAAGGTTGTGAAATTCTAGGGGTGGTTTTAATGTAGCAAACAATACTTATAAGTCACCCCCGTTCAAATACTGGGTTTGAGGAAGACTTGCAAGGTGACTATTGTTTATTTTGTCCTCTGATACTTAAAAACTCTGTGCTGGTGTTTAGTCGGCTTATTATTATTATTTTTTTTAACAATCACCACTTTAGGAATTCTACCTGATACATACTTTCATAGGAAATTTGGTATAAAAAGCAATTTGTTTCTAGTAAGAAACCTTAGAAGTTCAACATGTCAAATTTCATTTGTTCTTGATGTAAGAGCTGCTTTATTCAAGTAAGGCAATACTTGCAAACAAAAGTAAATGAATGTTATTATTTACACTGTTCCCCTCAACTGTGAGTGGTTTTGCACTGCTGGGGACATTGGCCAGGTCTGAGGACATTTTTAGTTGTCACGCACTGGGAGAGATGAGAGTTAACCGGTGTCTAGTGAGTGCAGGTCAGGAATGCTGGGAAACACCCTACAACTCACAGGCAGCACTAGCACAAAAAATTATTCAGTCCAGATGTCATGTATTAAGGGTGAGACGCCCTGTTCTAGAAAAGAATTGGAACGAATCCATTTCCTGATGGAGAAAAAAAATGTGTGAAATGTGTGTGTGTGTGTATGTGTATTTTCCATGCTCAAGGGTGGTTTGGTCTCCAAGAAACGAAGAAGTGTGGTGGCAGTCAGGCCTCTGGCTGGGGTTATTGTGTGCTTGGGAGCGGGCTCATTTCCACCAGACTCGATGGCAGGAGCCTTCCTCTTGCCTCCTTTACATACCTGGAAGATGTCTCTTTAAAGGAGCTGGAAAGGAACCTTTAGGAACAAATCTATGTGGGTTATAGTTGTTGCTTGCTAACAAACTGCTAACGTTTATGAAATTCTAATTACTGTGTTTTCCTTAGTAACAGAAATCCCTTTTATTATATTATCTCAATGCCTTATACTTAGAAAATAAAGTGAATTGAGGGTTAGAACCTCATTTGCAGTGATATTTTTAATGCAGAAGAATTGAATTTTATAAACTTGGTTAAGGTGAAAGGACAATCTAATGACACTGCCACACTTGTTCAAAAATAAAATTAAGTCTAAGACTCAAGTTCAAATATTTCATCTCTTTATCATCTCTTCCCTCAACATGTGCAAATGCAAATTGGATTCCAAAGTCAAGTTGCTGCCCCATTCCAGGTGCGCTTTCTAAGCTCTTGGAGAAGAGACGGTTGGTTATCAGCCTCTCTGCATTGCCAAGTTATGTTTGACAAATGTTTCAAGAACTAAATGCAGAGTACCTCTCTGCATGCTTAATATTGGGTTCAGTTTGGCAAATAATTAATTCTATGGATACTGCCAGTGGTGTGTTGGAAGTAGTTTGTACTGTTAGTTTTTAGTTAGAGATACTCTTACTGATTACAACCTAGTAATCTCACTACTAACTCCTCTCCCAAAGAAATGTGAACTCTCATTGACACAAAAACCTATCTGAAAATGTTAATAGCACCGTTACGTGTATGACCCTAAATGAGAAAAAACCCAAGAGTCCTTCAGCAGGTGAATAGATAAACAAAACTATAATGGAATACTACTCAGCAATGAAAAAGGATTGGACTATTGGACTATACACACACTAGCTTAGATGCTGCATTACAGAAAAAATCTCCAAGTTTGTTAACTGTTGTATGATTCTATTTGTATAACATTCTAATGACATAATTACAGTGATCAGTGGTTGCCAGAGGTTAGAGTCGGGAACAGAATATGATTTTAAGAGATAGTATGAAGGAGTTTTTTCTTTCTTATGATAAGGAATAGTTCAGTATCCTGATGGTGACACTAATACACATAATCATAAAATTTCAAAGAAGTACATATTTGCACAAATAATGCATGTAAAAACTGGTGAAATCTGAACAAAGTTTGGAAGTTAGTGGTAGTAAATCAGTTATAGTTTCCTGGTTTTGATAATGGACTATAGTTTTGTAAGATGTTACTGGGAGAAAGTGAGTAGAAGATATAGAAGAACACTGTACTGTGTATAGTTTCTTGAGTCTTAAATTCTTCCAAAATAAAGTTACTTTAAGCAGTAAAAAGGGAATGAGTTGTGGTACTTAAGATAATGGGTAAATCTCAAAGACATGTTTAACAGACATATGAGAAAAGCTCAATATCACTTAGTATCCAAAAAAATTAAAAAACCTCTAGAAACAGCAAATGTTGGCAAGGATGTGAAAAAAGAACCTTCTCACATTGCTGGTGGGACTGTAAACTGGGTCAGCCATTGTGGGAAGAGCGCTGTGGGGAGAGTATGCAAAGAAAAGGAGCCATCAACTGCAGCACAACTATGTGGCCTGTTCATTTTTAGGTGCTCTTAAATATACTACAGAGTGGATAAAAGAATCTCTCCAAGAATTGCTCGCTCTCTCTGAGACTGCATTAACCCCTGGAGTGGAAAAAACTACCAAACAGAGTGTCAGCCCTACATCGGTGCTCAATAACAGTTACTTGAAACTATTACAGTGGGATTGTCAGAAAAAAGTATTTCCAGAGGTGAGTAGTTTTTTTCTTCTTC